AGCTCTAGTTTGAGTTTCAGCGTTGCCAAATCAGTTTTATCTGCAATATAGTAAGTTTCATGAGTTTCAGAGTCTATCTTACCTTGCTCTAAATAGTAATCCAGCAACAGGTTGTATAGGTCATTTTTGTTGGCTTGGTAGGGAACTTCTAGTTGATACTCATGTGCAAGAGTTTGTAATTCAATCCTCTTGGCACGACTTAAAGTCCCTATTTCACCTGCTGGATTTGCACGGAAAGCTTGGAGACGAAACATGGTGAAATTAGCAAATAAAGGTACACGAATATTCAATAGTGAATGTCAGAAACAGGACAACGTGGCAACTGGTACCTATCCTGTGAGATCTTTAACAATTAAAGTTAAGTAAAAGATGTTAAATGATTAAATTAAATCAAGGGCGCAGGAAATCTTGTACCCAGTACTCATGTAAGAGGATAAGGGCAAGAAAATCCTACTAACAAATGAAACAGAGTTTCGAAAAAAAATGAAACATTAAATTGCCTCAAAAGTAAAATTGGTAGTCCAAGGATGTAGGCATACCTTGCCAAGTCTCTATAGGACATAAAGCAAGTTTTTCCTACTGAATTTAATATGATACTTACAGAATTAGCGAACTTTTGTGCTCTGAAAAAGTAAGCTAATTCCCTACCGTTGTATGTATCATCATCTCTGACTGACGTGTAGGGGTGCGAGGTGTCAACTGGTGACGAGAACTGCTGCTGAGGTCCCAATTCAGCAACTAAAGTTCGAGCTAGAGGAACTATGGCCCTCTTTGTCCTCCTACAGTCAGATTGCAGAAGATTGGGTACTCTTGACCCGGGGCAGACCACTGTACCAGGGTACCAATATGATGATCTGTCAAAAATGAGAAATATCCAAGGGACAAAGATGGTAAACACGAGTAATAACACGGAGGGAGAGATGACCAATTAAGAGTATGACTGCGGCCTACAGTCACCACGTAATCCAAAGTTGTGTCACCTTCACTATATGTTACTCTCGTAATGCACAATACACCGCACCTTATAAAAAATGAAATTGAATATGAAAAATAGTAAAGCTACGTTAACAAAGTTAAATACGCTTACCATAAATTACCACTTGGCACCAGTACCTGAGTGAAGATCCCGGACAGGCCCCCATATAATATGTGACGGTAACGCGTTGGTGTTCGGCTGTTCAAAGCTAGGGGTATGGCCTCGTCACATAGTATTAAAAAAAAATAGAAAATCTGGAACTTCGTCTGTGGTAAGGTAAGGAGAAGACACACAAAACACAAGTAAACTTTAACAATGAAATTTTAATTACGTTAAATTAACAAAACATGAATAAAATGGACAAACAATTTCGTATAATAAAATCAATCAATCAAAATAATAAGAATAATTAAATGACAATGAAAAGTTACGTTAAGACAAAATAACAAGAAGTGCAATATAAAAGTAAATGAAAGGTGCTGGCATATTGGCTTTAAGCTATCACCTCTCTTAGTACACGTACGCCAAAGCTTACGTCTAGCAGGGAGAAGTGTTAACTGTGAAAGCACTGAATATTCTGAGGACTGAGGTCGTGGCGGCCCCAGACATCAAGTAGTATGGGGGGGTGGAGTGCAGTTGCAGCCCGACCGGCGACCAATCAGAGGAGCCGGCAGCAAGACAGGTAGTTTGGCGGTTTGAGTCTGAGCAGGTGTTCTTGGCTGCATACGTTTTGCGCTCTGGCAAACCTTGCTGGTGTTGTTGTCGTTGTTGGACATTTCTTCCATAGTAGTTATATATATTTGTTGCGACGTATTTTTGGAGGGAAGAGCAGGCTCAATCTCTTGAAGGAGATTATCGTCACAATATATATATATATATATATATATATATATATATATATATATATATATATATATATATATATATATATATATATATATAAATATATATATAATGTGCATTAATTTTATGTGTTAAACCTCTAGAAGAGGTAGGATTATAGATTAGTGATTGCAGAATTTTACCCTAGGCTACTCCATCAGTACTTGTTCAGCATTATGAGCAACCCAGATTCAAGCCCCACAAGGCTTAACCAACTTGCCAGTATGGATACTGCAGGAAGAATGAAAAAGACCCTTACATGTCTTAAAGGCCACTTAACAAGGCAGATCAAGAAATGTGAGGATTTGTCACAACAATCCCCAGTTGATTATGCTGACCTGGATATATATTATCAAGCAGCTGCAAGTAAATTTGAGTAAATCAAATGCCAAATAGCAACATATGTGGCTGAACTTGCCAACACCAATTTATCAGAAATAGAAATAGACGACATTATGGTTGATCTAGCGAGTTATGAAGATCATACTCAGGCCACGTTACAGCCTTACGTCAAATTAATTGCCCAGAGTAAGGCAACAGCAACAACAACAGTTTCATCTAATACGAGTCAAGCTGAAGCTCGACTCCCTCCAATTAATTTACTCATTTTCTCAGGAAAAGATGAGGAAGATTGGAACGAATTTTGGAACAAATTCGGAGACCTCGTGGAGGCTAAAAACCTATCAGGTGAGGCTAAAACAGCAGTATCCCATCTGAGGTTAGCTAATGACGGCTATGATCTGGTAGTACAGCTTCTCAATGATAATTATACTGATCCGGAAGTAAGAACATCACATTTAGTACATGAACTGTTGCATTTACCCCCACCGGAGGCTTCAGCTGATTCACTCCAAGTCTTTAAGCTTGAGGTAGAATCAATGATCAAGGCCCTCAGCCTGACAGCCGATATTAACGGGGCTGAGTGGGTCTTGAAAATTATTGTCCAGTAGACAAATGAGTGCTCATTACAATAAAAGTAATCCATAAATGAAATATCTGAGGGTTTACGTTCAGTAATTCATCAATTACGAACACTTGATAAATTAAAACCACCAAGTAAACCTTCAGAAACGAATAATAGTAAACCACAGAGTACCAAAAGTACTCCAAATCAATCTAAATATAATTCAACACCAAAGTGGAACAGCAGCAGTGTGGGCGTGTATGCAGTGGGACCCTCCAAGCCTATAGTTACTGTGTCGCCCAAGAACGTGACTCCAAAGGATACTGGAAACTATGGACCATGTTTGTTCTGCCAAGAGAAACATTCAATGTACCACTGCCCGAATTTCCTGATTGTGACGCCCGTGTTGAGCGACTCAAAGATTTGCAACACTGCACGAGGTGCCTCAGGAAACATAACATCATCGATTGTGAGACCCAATTATACACCTGTAATAGGTGTAACAAAGGTCAGCACCATGCAGCACTTTGCGGAGACACAAAAACAGTCTCCAAACCCCAAGGTGGAAGATAGCATTCCCACCACAGTACAGTACTACAAGGTGCAACAAACAATTAGTGTCAAATCGGCAAAGTCTAAAGGTAATACGACTTTGTCTACTGCCCAAATTACCATCCAGAATAAGAGGGCCAAGGTCCATACCCATGGGTTGTTTGACCAAGGGTCCCAGAGAACATATGTCACTAAAAAGTTGGCAGATGAACTACAATTAAGGCCTGTAGCACAGACGTCATTCAACGTCTCAGCGTTTGTAACAGATGCAGGACTTCAAGTCTACCAGGTGGTACAACCATCAGTACGTTTAGGCAGCTACGTCTGTCAAGTACAAGCCATTGTGGTGGACAAAATACCAGTAGACCTACAAGTACAAGATCTGAGAGCAACAGCCAAATTCTTGAGAAATAGAGGAATAAAATTGGCAGATAATATTAAGTCTGATCACCTCACCGACTTCTGTATCCTTGTAGGTACAGGCTACTACCATTGATTCATCAGTAGCCCTACTAAATATCAGGGTATAACCACGCTAAATTCTACAGGAGGTAAATTACTCTCAGGCCCAGTATTAAGCCTGTAGAGACCTATGCCTGCAGATAAACAATACCAGTAGAAATCTAAATTTGTCAGCTGATTATATTTCTCCAGTAGCATTATACTAAGGAGATTACAGCTGACTATAACAACAGAGGTTGATCTTAATATCATCATTTAAAGCTGAAGATGAGTTCATGAGGCCTCAGTGGCAAATCAGTGAACAGTCACGTAACAGCTACAAGTCACTGCGACCAATGTCACTGAAGCCACTGCAGTCGCAAAACCATACTTGACTTTAATGATGGACTATTCAATCCTCTGAATCAATTAACTAAATTAAACCCCAATTTGTCAGCCAAATAAACTTCAGCAAATAAGCTTAAGAGAGCTTGACTGACTATATTGATCTTACGACTGATTTTGATACAAATGTTATTTAATCAGTATGAATCCCATGGACCTCAGTGTATATATATCAGTGACCAGTTACCTGATCAAGCTGCAAGTTATTTCTAATGTCACTGATCTCACTGTAGTCCCTGAATCATACTTGACTGTAGTACTTGATCACATTCAGTCCTCGGGTTTGATATGTAATTAGGCTAGAATTTTAGCCTCTCAAGAGTTAACAGGGAAATGTAATCGCATTAGATTCCTAACCCCTGCAAATCTAGTATGGGACATCCGTCCTGCATGATCAGACGTACAAATGTGTGATTACTAACTACTAACATCAAATTAATCTAATAATACGAAGGAGGAATATCGGTGTTTCGGAATCTGGGGGTCAGAAACTGTCTCCTGTGGGTCAGAAGCTGTCGTCTGTAGGCCAGGAACTGTCTCCTGTTGGTCAGAAGCTGTCGTCTGTGCGTCACGAGGAGCCGTTTGTGGGTCAGGAGTTACCGTATATGGGCCAGTAGGTGCGTTTGTGCGTCATGAGGTGCCGTTTGTGGGTCATTAGGTGCCGTCTGTGGGTCAGGAGGTGTCGTCTGTGGGTTAGGAGCTGCCGTCTGTGGGTCAGGAGCTGCCGTCTGTGGGTCAGGAGGTGCCGTTTGTGGGTCAGGAGGGGCCGTCTGTGGGTCAGGAGGTGCCGTTTGTGGGTCGTAAGGTATCGTCTGTGGGTCATTAGGTGCCGTCTGTGGGTCAGGAAATGCTGTCTGTGGGGTCATTAGGTGCTGTCTGGGGGTCAGGAGGTGCCGTTTGTAGGTCATAAGGTGCCGTCTGTGGGTCAGGAGGGGCCGTCTGTGGGTCATAAGGTGCCGTCTGTGGGTCATAAGGTGCCGTCTGTGGGTCAGGAGGTGCCGTCTGTGGGTCAGGAGGGGCCGTCTGTGGGTCAGGAGGGGCCGTCTGTGGGTCATAAGGTGCCGTCTGTGGGTCAGGAGGTGCCATCTGTGGGTCAGGAGGGGCCGTCTGTGGGTCAGGAGGGGCCGTCTGTGGGTCAGGAGCTGCCGTCTGTGGGTCAGGAGCTGCCGTCTGTGGGTCAGGAGGTGCCGTCTGTGGGTCAGGAGGTGCCGTTTGTGGGTCAGGAGCTGCCGTCTGTGGGTCAGGAGGGGCCGTCTGTGGGTCATAAGGTGCCGTCTGTGGGTCAGGAGGTGCCGTTTGTGGGTCAGGAGCTGCCGTCTGTGGGTCAGGAGGTGCCGTCTGTGGGTCAGGAGGGGCCGTCTGTGGGTCAGGAGCTGCCGTCTGTGGGTCAGGAGGTGCCGTCTGTGGGTCAGGAGGTGCCGTTTGTGGGTCAGGAGGTGCCGTCTGTGGGTCAGGAGCTGCCGTCTGTGGGTCAGGAGCTGCCATCTGTGGGTCAAGAGCTGCCGGGCTGTGGGTCAGAAGGGACCGTCTGTGGGTCAGGAGGTGCCGTCTGTGGGTCAGGAGCTGCCATCTGTGGGTCAAGAGCTGCCGGGCTGTGGGTCAGAAGGGACCGTCTGTGCGTCAGGAGGTGCCGTCTGTGGGTCAGTAGGTGCCGTCTGTGGGTCAAGAGCTGCCATGTGTGGGTCAGGAGCTGCCGTGAGTGGGTCAGGAGGTTCCGTCTGTGGGTCAGTAGGTGCCGTCTGTGGGTCAGGAGCTATAGTCTGTGAGTCAGCAGCTATAGTCTGTGAGTCAGCAGCTATAGTCTGTGAGTCAGGAGCTATAGTCTTTGTGTCAGAAGCTATAGTCTGTAGGTCAGGAGCTATAGTCTGTGGGTCAGAAGCTATAGTCTGTGGGTCAGGAGCTATAGTCTGTGGGTCAGGAGCTATAGTCTGTGGGTCAGGAGCTGCCATCTTTGGGTCAGGAGCTATAGTCTGTGGGTCAGGAGCAATAGTTTTTGTGTCAGAAGCTATAGTCTGTGGGTCAGGAGCTATATTGTCTGTGGGTCAGGAGCTATAGTCTGTGGGTCAGGAGCTATAGTCTGTGGGTCAGGAGCTATAGTCTGTCAGGAGCTATAGTCTGTGGGTCAGGTGCTGCCGTCTGAGGGTGATGAGTTATATAGTCTGTGGGTCAGGAGCTGCCATCTTTGGGTCAGGAGGTATTGTCTTGGGTCAGGAGCTATAGTCTTTGGGTTAGGAGCTATTTTCTGTGGGTCAGGAGGTGCCGTCTATGGGTCAGCAGCTATAGTCTGAGTCAGGAGGTGCCGTCTATAGGTCATGAGCTATAGTCTGAGTCAGGAGCTATAGTCTGTGAGTCAGCAGCTATAGTCTGTGAGTCAGGAGCTATAGTCTTTGTGTCAGAAGCTATAGTCTGTAGGTCAGGAGCTATAGTCTGTGGGTCAGAAGCTATAGTCTGTGAGTCAGGAGCTATAGTCTGTGGGTCTGGAGATATAGTCTGTGGGTCAGGTGCTGCCGTCTGTGGGTCACGAGTTATATAGTCTGTGGGTTAGGAGCTGCCATCTTTGGGTCAGGAGCTATAGTCTGTGAGTCAGGAGCATTAGTCTGTGGGTCAAGAGCTGCCATCTTTGGATCAGGAGGTATAGTCTTGGGTCAGGAGGTGCCGTCTGTGGGTCAGGAGTTATAGTCTGAGTCAGGAGCTATAGTCTGTGAGTCAGGAGCTATAGTCTTTGGGTCAGGAGCATTAGTCTGTGGGTCAAGAGCTGCATTCTTTGGGTCAGAATCTGAAGAGTGTTAGTCAGGAATCTACAATAAGTAGTCGACAATGAACAAAAATTGACACTGTCATTTGTAAACAATAACTGCGCTCCCATCTACGGTAGTAGGTAATGGAAGCAAACACTTTACCATCGACATCCGTGAATAGGGCGTAATAGATTTTTGGGAGCGAAGTTTAGTATACATTTAATACTCTAAATGTATGCTGTACGTCAGCAGCTGCCTATAGGTCATGTGCTGCTGTCAAAAGCTAATTTTATGACAAAAAGAAGCTTGGAAACTGTTTTTAAATTTGCTGAAATCATTGAGATTGTCGCCATGTGCGAATATTATATTATGGTTCCTGAACAAGGGGCAAATTAAAATATTAGTCTTGGGTCAATAAAATATTAGTCAAATTAAAATATTACTAAAAAATGGAAATTATTTCTAACCTCTTCATAAGTCTTGCACCACTCATTGTATACAGCGATGACCTGAAGGGGGTCCTGCCCGGGCTTGAATACCTTGTCCATCATCTTTAGAGCCATCTGGTCCATCTCGCTCTTGCTGCACATCTGATCATTCACAGAAAACGAACATTATCATTTTAGAAAATCTAAGGTCATTTCAGAGATAATATTGTTTTAACAAATCGTACCTGGATGGTACCAACCATCGAGGTAATTACTCCAGGTTGGATATATACTTATATATACCTGCTTCGTTATTAACTCCTGCTCTAGAGGGTTATATACATCTGCTACGGTATGGTTATATACACCTGCTCCAGGATGGTTATATACACCTGCTCCAGGATGGTTATATACACCAGCTCCGGGATGGTTATAAACACCTGCTCCAGGATGGTTATATACACCTGTTCCAGGATGGTTATAAACACCTCTTCCAGGATGGTTATACACACCTACTCCAGGATAGTTAAATACACCTGTTCCAGGATGGTTATCTACACCTGCTCCGGGATGGTTATATACACCTGCTCCGGGATGGTTATATACACCTGCTCCAGGATGGTTATCTACACCTGCTCCGGGATGGTTATATACACCTGCTCCAGGATGGTTATATACACCTGATCCAGGATGGTTAAATACACCTGCTCCAGGATGGTTATATACACCGGCTCCTGGATGGATATATACACCTGCTCCTGGATGGATATATACACCTGCTCCAGGATGGTTATATACACCTGCTTCAGGATGGTTATATACACCTGCTCCTGGATGGATATATACACCTGCTCCAGGATGGATATATACACCTGCTCCAGGATGGTTATATACACCTGCTCCAGGATGGATATATACACCTGCTCCAGGATGGTATCTACACCTGCTACAGGATGGTTATAAACACCTGCTCCAGGATGGTTATAAAACCCTGCTCCAGGATGGTTCCCGGAGCAGGTGTATATAACCATCCTGAAGCAGGAGTATATGACCATCCTGGAACAGGTGTATATAATCATCCTGGAGCAGGTGTATATACCCATCCTTGAAGTGTATATAACCATTCTGGAACAGGTGTATATAACCATCCGGGAGCAGGTGTACATAACCATCCTGGAGCAAATGTAAATAACCATCCTTAAGAAGGTGTATATAACCATCCTGGAGCAGGTGTATATAAACATCCTGGAGAAGGTGTATATAACAATCCTGGAGCAGGTGTATTTAACCATCCTGGATCAGGTGTATATAACCATCCTGGAGCAGGTGTATATAACCATCCCGGAGCAGGTGTAGATAACCATCCTGGAGCAGGTGTATATAACCATCCCGGAGCAGGTGTATATAACCATCCCGGAGCAGGTGTATATAACCATCCCGGAGCAGGTGTAGATAACCATCCTGGAGCAGGTGTATTTAACTATCCTGGAGTAGGTGTGTATAACCATCCTGGAAGAGGTGTTTATAACCAATAATAATTCTGGAATAGGCCTATATAACCATCCTAGAGCAGGATTATATAACCATCCTGAAGCAGGAGTATATGACCATCCTGGAACAGGTGTATATAATCATCCTGGAGCAGGTGTATATAGCCATCCTTGAAGTGTATATAACCATTCTGGAACAGGTGTATATAACAATCCTGGAGCAGGTGTATTTAACCATTCTGAAGCAGATGTTTATAAATATCCTGGAGTAGATGTATATTACCATCCTGGAGTAAATGTATATAACCATCCTGGAGCAGTTGTGTATAATCATCCTGGAACAGGTGTATATAACAATCCTGTAGCAGGTGTATATAAACATTTTGAAGTAAATATATATAACTATCCAGGAGCAGGTGTATATAACCATCCTGGAGAAGCTGTATATAACAATCTTTCAGGAGGTGTATATAACCATCCTGGAGGTGTATATAACCATCCTGGAGCAGGGGAATATAAAAAGTCTGGAATAGGCCTATATAACAATCCTAGAGCAGGATTATATAACCATCCAGGAGAAGATGTATATAACTATCCTGATACAGGTGAATATAACCATCCTAGAAGAGGTGTATATATCAATCCTGGAACAGTTGTACATAATCATTCTAGAACTGGCGTATATAACCATCCTGGAGAAGTTGTATATATCCATCTTTGAGGTGTTAATAACCATCCTGGAGCAGGTGTATATAACAATCTGGGAGAAGGTGAATATAATCATCCTAGAGCAAGTGTATATAACTATCCTGGAGCAGCTGTATATAACCATACTGGGGCAGGTGTATATAACCATCCTTGAACAGGTGTATATAACCATCCTGGAGCAAGTGTATATAACCATCCTGGAGTTTGTGAATATAACTATCCTAGAGCAGGTGAATATAACCATCCTGGAGCAGGTGTATATAACCATCCTGGAGCAAGTGTATATAACCATCCTGGAGCAGGTGAATATAACCATCCTGGAGCAGGAGTATAAAAATATCCTGTAAAAGTTGTATATAACCATCCTGGAGCAGGTGTATATAACCATCCTGGAGCAGGTGTATATAACCATCCTGGAGCGGGTGTATATAACTATCCTTGAACAGGTGTATATAACCACCCAGGAGCAAGTGAATATAACCATACTGGAGCAGGTGTATAACCATCTTGGAGCAGGTGTATATAACCATCCTGGAGCAGGTGTATAAACAATCCTGGAACAGGTGTATATAACCATTCTGATGCAGGTGTTTATAAATATCCTGAAGTAGATGTATATAACCATCCTGGAGCAGTTGTGTATAATCATCCTGGAACAGGTGTATATAACAATCCTGTAGCAGGTGTATATAAATATCTTGAAGTAGATGTATATAACTATCCTGGAGCAGGTGTATATAGCCATCCTGGAGTAGTTGTATATAACCATCCTGGAACAGGTGTATATAACCATTCTATAGTAGTTGTAAATAACCATCCTGGAGAAGCTATATTTAACCATAATGTAGAAGGTGTATATAACCATCCTGGAGGTGTACCTAAGCATCCTGGAGCTTATGTAAATAACTATCATCGAGAAGCTGTATATAACAATTCTTCAGGAGGTGTATGTAACCATCCTGGAGCTGGTGAATATAAATATTTTGGAATAGGTGTATATACCCATCCTAGAGCAGGTTTATATAACCATCCTGGAGCAGGCTTATATATATCCATCCAGGAGAAGATGTATATAAGTATCCTGGAGCAGGTGAATATAACTATCCTAGAGCAGGTGTATA